TAAAAAGTAAATATACAATTGCAAAACTTTAACGTTTTGGTATGCGGAACATAAAGATCAACATCTGCAATATTATTTCGGGCACTAGACCAATTAATTGTCTCAAATGGTTCAACGTATAATTCCTGCCTAAGTTGTTCGATTAATGGAGTAACTTCGGCACGTAATCTACGTCCATAACAGTATCCCATTGGGAGGTATACTGCACGGGTATGAACCCAAAAACGACCTGGATGAAACGGTACAGAGTATGGAAAGAGCCTTTTTTTATTTATTAAAAGAAAATAAGAATGCAATTATAAAAAAAAAAAAAAAAAGAAAAAAAATTTTTGAGAGAAAATCACCATAGTTCTGGTGGAATTGGATTAAGCCCTTCCCAGTCATACACGTTTAAACATGCTAACCAAAATTTTCCCCATGAAGGCGCACCAATTGCACCTCCTATTGAGTCCCCGAAATTTTGCACATAATTAATATGAATTCTTGCAAGAATAAAAATCATCATTAAACTACTTACCAAATTTGTGTAAAGTTGCTCTACTTTTTACCATTACCGGATGATCGGGATCAAGACCTAAGATGCGAAGCGCAACATAATTCAAAGCAGTTCCAAATACCGTTGAATGATGTTCAATATGCCTAAATCAATTTAAAATTGTGACTTGTTCAGCCCAACAAATCTAAAGCAAAAAAAAAAAAAGAGTTATCACAGAAGACGGAAAACAGAAAATGAACTTACAATCCCCATCCACCATCAACAGGATTTGCTTTATTTACCAAATATCGAATAATTTCGATTCTCCAAGCTTCCGGGATAGGAATATGCGTAATATACATTGCGATAATAAGTCCTGGTATCAAAAACATTGGCCCGCCATATTCACCTGCCCAATGCCCATCAGAAGTTTGTAATTGCTTAAAAAATTCGAACCCATTTTGGGCTGCTTCGAAAGCTGTTTTTGGCTTTTCAAATGTTTTTGATTTCTTTTTATATTTAAATTAATGTTTAAATTGAGATTAGAGATGGTACTGATGTAAATGTTTTTTTTGTCGGTTACCATCCGAGTACAAATTTATTGAATTCCACATTTTTTTATAAAAAGAAAAAAAACTTACAAAGTGTAATCCAATCCAATACTTTTCAATGACAGATTGAGGCCAATTTTTAGCTTCATCCTCATCTAAATAATGCCATGTCTGTCTACCATTTTCAACTTTTAGTCGCCATCTGTTTAAGTCTGTACTTTTTATATCACTATTAATTATTGATTTTATTTCAGGTATATGCATTGTTGACGAATTCAAAATTTTAAGTTAATCAGGAAGATATGCTGACAGCCAGATAAAATTTATATACCGAGTTTTATAGTTTGTTTCACTATTGATGCGAAAATCCGATCCCAAAGTTAGAACTGAAGTAACATATGTAGATGTCATCGAACTTTAATATAGGTACACCGATTAGTATTAGATTAACATAATTTGGGGGTTTGTATCGATTTTAGTATGACACTCATAAGAGATCTAAGAAGCCTTTTAAAATCAGAATGCATCGGGATAATTACGAAATTACGACCAAAATTAGCCGAAATTAGATCTTCGGCTTCTGGGTCACGCAGGAGGAACCGTCGATGTTACACGACTGATCCTTCACCTGGTGTGCAACATATAAAAAAATTACTGTACATGTTATGATTATAATCCCACACCATTGTTATTATTATTATAATAAAATGGTGTGGGACAGTGTTAATTTTTCAGTTAAAATTTACTGTGCGGCAAATAAAGAAAAACTATAAACAAGTTTTTACAAGTGTGCGCACTACTTACGAAATGTCAATTTTTTCTGTGCGGCATCTGTACATCTGTTCAAAAGAAAATGTGCGCAAAATTTTGTTTTTGTGTGCTGCGCACAGTCCGCACAGCGAAAAATAATCACTGGTGTGGGATTATAAGGGATTATAATCATAACATGTTTCGCTGACCAATCAAAGTTCAAGATCAGGTGTAACGTTGCACGATCAGGAAAATTCAAAACAAACGTCCGTTTTGTCAAAAATCGCTCATAACT